GGGGAGAGAGAAAGGAGAGAGAGGGGAGAGAGGAAAGATACAGAGAGATAGGAGAGAGAGAGAATAGAGAGGAGAGAGGAGAGAGAAAGAGATAGGAGAAGGAGAGAGAAAGAGAGAGAGAGGGAGAGAGAGAGAAGAGAGGGGAGAGAGGGGAGAGAGAAAGGAGAGAGAGGGGAGAGAGGAAAGATACAGAGAGATAGGAGGGAGAGAGAAGAGAGAGGAGAGAGGAGAGAGAAAGAGATAGAGAGAGGAGAGAGAAAGAGAGAGAGGGAGAGAGAGAGAAGAGAGAGGAGAGAGGAGAGAGAAAGAGAGAGGAGAGAGAAAGAGAGAGAGAGAAGAGAGGGGAGAGAGAAAGGAGAGAGAGGGGAGAGAGGAAAGATACAGAGAGATAGGAGAGAGAGAAGAGAGAGGAGAGAGGAGAGAGGAGAGAGGAGAGAGAAATAGAGGAGAGAGAGAGAGAGAGAGAGAGAGAGAGAGAGAGAGAGGAGAGAGAAAGAGAGACTGTTATCTCAGGTTACCATGCAGTGCTCTGTGCAGCGTAATTAATTGCTCTGAATTCTTCTTTCAGCCCTGATCTGTACAAATGACCAACCCTCCCCTGACGACACTCTGAAGCCTGAGTAGGCCTTGCCTTGTGGCCATCCCGGGATCAGTCGTGGGCAGCTGAGTACAGGCCAGCCCAGGTGGACCAAGCACGGAGGCGGGGGCCAGGCTCCGAGAGTCTGAGCCAGCCTGGGGCTGGGCTTCCGTAGTGCTTGCTCTGCAGGGCCTGATCAGGGAAGCCAAGAGCCAGCCTGAGAATGCACAAGGCGTTCTGTTCCGGGCTGTGCCGACCGTGTCAGTCCAGAAACGGTGGCTGGTGGCTGCCTGAGAGCCACCTTCGGAGCAGCTGCTTGCTCGTGGCAGTGGGAGTGCATGGCTCTGCCTACGGTGTCCTCACAGGTGCGTCTAGATGTCCCATGAAAGAGGAATCATGAAATGCAGGTTTTTAGCCCAAGCAAGCAGGAACTCTGCAGACCTAAACGTGCAGTCCTGTGTCTCGGGTCCGGGCAAGTGTGCCGACCGCGGGAGCGGGTAGAGCTTCTGCCCAGAAAGCGCGCCCCGCCCTGGTGCCCAGCTGAGGTGTGCATGTGAAAGCTAAAATAAAGCCGCACACAAAACAGAAATCTAAAATTAAATATTTAATTAGAACTCTGATTTGCTTTAAAGATAGGTGGCTTGCACAGGCTATGTTACACTCTCTTTATAATTTTTTTTTGACAAAAAAGATACTGTTCATTTTAACAGGCCACTTTAATATTAATACACGTGTAATAGGGTTGGGACAGAAAATCAGCTAGAGATGGTACATTTTACGTTATTGGGAAAATTACAGTTTTGTATTGTAAAAACATTTATTTTTAACAATTTACCTACAGTAATCAAAAAATTACAGCATATTTAATAATTTTACAAATTCTTCATAAAAAATATATCTCTGTACAAAAAGGTCTTTGCACCTACTTTGTGACAGCAGCGTGAGGCGGTGGCGGGGTGGTGGCGGGCTTCCTGACCGTGTGCCAGCTTGCTTCTCCCTCTCTACAAGAGCTTTTTATGTCGGTGTTTACAAAATATTTTACAGAAGAAAAAAATTATTGCAGCTAGCCTGAAGGAAGGCAAGATGTGGGGGGCAAGCAGCAGTTCACACAGCTGTGAGCCCAGAGCCGATGACCACATGGCCACGCGCCACTCTGCAGCCTCGCCGAGCATGCTTCTGGCCGCCCTGCTGGGCCTCAGTGCCTGGGGACGGGAAGGGGACAGGTGAGACACCGCACACTCCTGGGTGGCAGCCGGCATGCTCCAACTCAGCCCAGTGCGTCTGGGTGTGGAGGCAGCAGGCACCACAGGGCCGGGCACGGGGCAGGGGGTACTACACTCCGTGGGCGTGTGGGCTCCGGTGCACGTGTGGCTCCTCTGTCCTGGTGCTCAGGCCTCATTCCGTCACTGACCAGCAAGCGAGTCAGGGGCGCAGGGACCGGGAGGTCATCGGACTCTCGAGTCGGCAGTCTGCACCGTTCTGAGTGATCAAGCTTAGGTATGTACAATATGTATAGATATACGTATATATATAGATATCTATATATATATATACACCTACTATGTATAGTAACCCTGTTGTCCCTCACACACGTGGCCCTCTAACTTCGTGCTCTGCCTTCCCTCTGCCTAAATGTGTGTCAGGAGCGTGGCTCCCGTGGACCTCACTGAATCGACCCAGAAAGGCCAGGGAAGGGTGCTGTGGGGAGCTGACCCGTGAGTGTGCAGGAGCTCAGCACCCCAGTGTGGAATCCAGCAGTGCACACCCGGGCACATGCACAACCAGAAGTGGCCAGGGAGGCGCGTGGCTGCTGGTGCCCTTCAGGAGAGAGCCACACAGAGGGCCCAGGAGGGACTGCCAGGACGCTCCAGACAGAGTGCAGGACTCTCAGAGGGACGGGCTGGCTCCTGGGGCTCCTGGTCTCCATGTCCCCTTGAGGCCTGCACGCACATGCGTGCTGGTCAGAAACCGCTTCCTCCGAGGGCGTGAGGAGTGCGGGTGTTCTCACAGCAAGCCGAGGCCAGCTGCGCCTGGCGTTCTGCGGAAGCAGGTCTGGAACGTGTGGGGGACCTTCGTGGTGTGGAATAGGTACCTCAGCATCAAATAATAAAATAAGCGTATCTGTTCAAAAATACCTTTATCAAACAATTATAAATAAAAATAAACATGATCTTCACTTCAAATTTGTTACAGAACATTCTCATGGTCACATCGATCCACGTTTTAAAATTTTATCCACTTGAGGAGCATATGACATATTTTACTTATTCCACACTGCTTAATTCTATCTATAACGAACTCCAACCTTCTAGCACCACGGAAATGGTCTTCTGTCTGGAATGCTAATGCATGAACAAAACATAAAACAGACTGACCAGAGCGAGCACTGAGGTCTGCTCCTGCCTCCACAGGGGCGCAGGCCCTGACCGACTGCTGCTGCAGCCACCGGAGCTGTGGCCACCCCTTCAGTGCAACAGAGAAGACGTGGTGGCAATCGAAGGCGACGGTGACGCCGCAGGAGGACTGGCTGTGTGCGAAGGCCCGCAGTTTCGGGGCTACCTGGACAACATAAATCACTATGCCCAGCCTTGCATGGCTAATGGAAATCGTGACAAACTGCCTGGCATAGAGGGACAAAATCTGGGCCACAGTGAACCGAAAGGAAGAAAACACAGAAAACAAAAGGCCTTTACTCTGCTGTTGGACATGTGCAAGGAAACTAAAACCGCGCGGAGCTAGTGGAAGGGCAGCACGCTACCTCGCTCCAGCACTGCCTTTCACCTCCTGTGCTGTGTGCACTGGGGCTCTTACCTCCCGCTCCAGTGGAACCGAGGGTGGGATGTGTGGCTGGCGCTACGAAGGATGCGTATATACAACGTGGAGTGTGTATAAACCCTGTGTGAATAGTTTATTTTTATCAGAATCTTACTCAATCATTCATAACACCCTAGTGCAAAAAATTGTGCATCAAAAATTCTGCAATAGAACAGTTGGCAGGGAAACTGGCGAATGTCCCCCACAGTGGACCGTGGGGAGGGAGCCACGTGGTCCCCAAAGCTTGCTGGGTCTCAGGAAGGACAGAGTGAAGCATTCGTAGGTATGTGCATCTGTTAGAAAGGTGTCTTCCTCAAGAAAACGTGGTTTTTCTTTTACAGCATCTGTGTCCGCGGAGAATCAAAGGAAAATAAAAACACGGAGTGTGGTGCTACTGTGTCGTTGCTGCCGGGAGGATGCTTCCGTGCGGCCCAAGATCGCCCTGGAAGGCACCAGGCCACACAGGGACGGGGTCTGGGGCGTGGAGCTTGGCGTGTCTCGGGACTCGGATTTCTCCCTGGAGTGTGCCGCGGCTGAGTGGACACGTTAGAAATCCACGTTTGCAGTCTGGTCTGTGGGAGTTGCTGCCACATGGAGAGGGTGAAGGCTCTGCCCGTGGACACCAGAAGACAATGGAGGCGGTGCTGCAGCAAAGCAAGAGGAGGAGGAAGTGTGGTCTACGGCACCAGAGGAAGCCTGCTCGTCTTGCGGAGGTATGGCTATGGGTCAGTCCGGCACTCAGGGCTATACCACCGTGCACACTGTGTTCAGAGTCGTGTCAAAGCGCACGGCCTTGGCTTCCGTGGGCTTTAAGTTTGTGTCATACATGGGATTTTCAAAGGATGCTTGTCCGTTGCTGTTTTCGTGTCCAGCGTAGCCATTGTATTGGACTTTGGGTCTCGTTCTAGAGGCAGGAGAGGAGACATAGTCAGGACAAGCTGCGGCAGTAGAAGTGTGAACAGTGGGCTCACATGGGGGCCTGGCTACCAGGCTTGGGGTGGCGCGTGAGCTTGGGACACCTGTCCACGAGGCCACGGCTGCTGCTTTCACCACAGCAGCCAGGGCCACAGATGGGGCTCAGAAAGGGAAAACAGCGCAGAGATTCAATGATCTGTGCTTCCCTCGATGCCCCGGGAAATCAGGGAGCCCGCACAGGACGCGGTCAGCTGGTGCTGGGAGCAGCCGCCTCCCTGCGGCTGGGCAGTCACAGGAGAGGTCGCCCAGCTCCTTGCTCGGCACAAGATGCCAGCCGAGCCGCGCGCTAGGGAGCCTGCTCCTCGGCTCACCTGTGCCATGCGGTGTCTGGTGGGTCAGACGTGGACGTTTATGGAAAACAAACTGCGGTCATTGGTAAAATGTCTTTCTATGTTCTGGTGGAAAGAAACCCCTAGTACGTAATCTAGGATGTGAGCACTGGAGGATTTTAGATAGAAAATATCTGGTGGTATCTAGTCTGGCTGATTTCTTTATTATAGAAGAAGAAATTATGTAAGGAAATATGCTGGGCTTTAAAAATAGAACTTTGATAAAATAACTACTCTGGCAAAAGTATCTCTTAACACTGGGTAGGAACAAATTTTTGCTCAAGGGATTCATTAGTCAATTCTCTCAAAGTGTAATCTGTTCATTAAGAAAAAGGCAGGAGGTGCAGGTGCCTGTAGAACCCCTGTCCTCTGACACAGGACCAAAAGGCCACTGGACTCGGCCTCCTCCCACAGGGCAGAGCACTGGGTGTCCAGCAGGGGAGGAACAGGGACTGAGGGACAGCAAGGGCAGGTGCTACTGGGCACGTGTGAGACTGGGAAGGGCGATAGGAGGGAAGGAGGGAACACTGCTGGGACAGGGCAGGAGCACTGGGAAAATGGCCCAACGAGGGGCCAGGCAGCCAGGGTCCTGTGATGACCCCTGTGCCCTACGGCACCGAGCAGGGAGTCCACAGCCCTGTAGACCCAGGGCGACGGTAGCCTCGGGGGCCCTCCTGAGAGCCAGAGGTGGCCATGTCCTTAACTCTAGCAGCCCTGGGACTCAGGCGCTGAGGTGGAGGGGCCTTCATGATGCCACGTAAGCCTTGTCCCCCTCCTGCCAGGTGACCTGGACCCTTCCCTGTCTGCTCATAAACTCTCCCGGCACTGGGGTCATGGGGATGCTCCCAGGCCAGGTGTGTGCTCCCTGCATAAAGTGAGATGTCAGAAGTCATGTTTAAGTCACACACGAACACCGAGGAGCTGAGTGGCATTTTTGCTTCAGAGGAATAGAGCCTCGGAGAATCATCTGCACCATGGGAGCACAGAACCACACACGGGCACGTGTGAGGGAGCCACCAGCTCCAGGCCAGGACCTTGGAGAATGCAAAAGGCTCAGATGTCCAGAGAGCCCCCCAAAGTGGGCAAGGGGTGGTGACAGGCGAGGCCCTTTTGCTGGGGTGAAGGCAAAACCACAGGCAGGAATTATGAGTCCTGCACTCTGGCCTCCAGGGCCGACTCTGGAGGAGAACTGCTCCTGCCACGCGGCCCTCAGAGTGCTGGACCTCTGAGAACAGCTCTGAGGGGCGGCTGGCGCTGCTGGCTCTGGGCCTAACTCTCCCTAGCCTGGAGCAGAAGCGGCAGGCACACATCGGACCACGGGCGGAGCACGCCTCTTCCTCACCACAGGAAGTGTCAGTGGTACAGACTGGTTTTTCCATTTTTAGTATTTATTTTCTGGGTGTTAGGGGTGGGACCCAGGGTCTCATGCATGCTAACTGGAGCCCTGTCACTGAATGGCACCCAGTGGGCACACTCTTAATTCTATAAATGCCATCCCAGAGTTTTCATTGGGATGCAGTCATTTTTGGGGGGAGGGGAAGGATCTACAGGGTGTTCAGGGTCTCACTACGTGATTGGGCTTGCAGTGATTCTCCTGTTCACAGCCTCCCAAGTGCTGGGATTACAGGCACGCGCCACCACGCCCAGTCTCAATTGCTGTCTCAGCATGCCCCGGGATGTCTGGGCCGGCACGGCAGGCCCCCAGCCCCTGCGCCTGCTTGCAGGCACTTTAATCTGCTAAGCTATTTGGCTGGCCTGGGATACAGTCTTAAAATAAGAGCATCATATAACACTGGCGAAAGAAGACAGACAGGTCAGCTGGGCGAGTGTGGTGTCCCATGCAAGAAAGCACACGTAAACAAGCCCCGTCACAGGCACTACAAGCACTGTGTTTGTACTACTTCTATGTTTTTAACCAGCATTAAGTGGAAATATGTGCATTAAATAAACATACATCCCAATTAAGATAGTTTAATATTATTTCGGGAATCATAACAGCTTGGTAATATTTGTAGGGAATGCTGTTACTCAAAATTGTATTTTAGAGCAACTTGGCAGATTCCTAAGTGGTATCTTATCTCCATGACAACAATACCTTCAGGAACTCTAGAATTCCTCCTCAACACTTTCTTTTTGGTATTACAACTAAACTCAAGAAAACATCTATTCCAAAAGAATTACTTTTCAGTAAGAATTTGTAAATAAATATTTAGAACAGTATTTCAAGGGATGGGGCATATATCATTTCGTGTATATTAAAACTTCAGTTTTTCTATCTGCTGAAAGGATGAATCAGCCAAAATGCAGTCTGGGACTGGGGGGGATCCTGCTGGTGGGCGGGGCGCACAGCTAGCCCCCCCCGACCTGCCCACCTGCCCTCTTAGGGCCACTCCCATATGTCCTGCTGCCAGTCAGGCAAAATGCAAAGACCAAGCCCCCGGGAGCCCCTGAGCATGCCACAACCTTAATGGGGAGCGAAGGCTAAGGGCAGCGCAAAGTCAGTGTGCATGTGGGAGCCCACCAAGACCGCCCACGGGGCAGTGTGTGTGTGGAGTCCGCCGAGACCACCCACAGGGCAGTGTGTGCATGGAGCCCGTCGACACCGCCCACTACAGTGCACCAGCCCGGAGTGTTGGTACAGTACCTGTGTTTGTAGAGGTAAAATGCAAACCCTGATAAGATTAGAGCAAAGAAGGGAACCAGAATAGCGGCTGCCACGGAACCACTGCTGGTGCCGTGGTAATGACTCGAAGGGTCTTGGTCGGGGCTTGAGGGATCTGGAAGAGAAGAAGAAGATTTAATCTGCAGGTATTGGCCTATTCTTAAACAGGAAAAACTTTATAAGTGACTGCAAATGTTATGCGAAGCAAGAGCCTTAGTTCCCCAGGGAGCCCACTGGAACTCTTTTCTGCAGATTTTAATATCCATTTTAATGACCAAGGTTAAAAAAACAACTCGGAATATTCCTTGCTGATACTCAACAGTCCTATGAGAGACTCAAATTTCAAATGCCCCAAAGGTAAGTGGGTCATTAAACATTTTGACTTGTCTTTAGTTGATATTTTTATTTGCTAAAGAATCTGTCAGAAAGTGACCCATTTTTGTCCATATACAGAGATGCATAGTACCGGCTCCTCTTTCCTGTCATAAGGCCCGATTTTGCAAAATATTAGTCACTGACATTATTGTAGGTCTCCATGGCAACAGCATTAATCCTCTCTTTGTGGATATGTGTTACTGGCTTTTATTTTAGGCATAATCCAAAATTCATTAGGTCACTTAGATACCCTGAAGGGAGAGCCCTTCTGGCTCTGAATGCATGTCGGCATGTGGATGCAGAGGGATGCTGGGGCACACGTTCTGCCCCCAGGAAGCTGGCAGTGAGCAGAGGTGGTCCTGCACTTGGGAGTCTGCATTGTCGGCAGGCCCGAACTCCTGCATGTCACTGAGACACAGGTGGGTGCTGGAAATTCAATTGAGCAAATACTTACTGCAAGACTATTTATTACAAAGGAGGATGTTGGCTACTGAGCTTACTTGTGAAACAGGGTTTCAAGCACGTCTGCTCTGACTTCATGGAGTCTCGGAACCCACGAGCGTTAATGAATGACGAAGGCGGCCCTCTGCACCTAGCCGGCCTGTGGCCAAGCTGGTCTGGCCTTTAGATGTGTATTTCCGGAATTTATGAAGTGCCAAATCGAAAGAGATGTCTTGTTTCTTTTAGAAGATATACATACAAGAGAACAATCAAATATTGCAATCCTTAAAATATGGTTTATATCAAAATTCTTGAACTTTCACGTAACTTTCCGATGATATATTTTCCCCTTGCTTCAGCAGATGCAGGGCCATTACTAGCTATCATTTCTGAGTTGGACATGAGCATACTTCACAACGGGTCTGTGCTTCTGCAGCTTTCCGCCCAAGCACCATGCAGGGGAGACCTTAGGAGCCCCCAGGGATAGGGCTGCGGGCTGCTGGCCTCTGGATGCCACCACCCAGGCCACTGGATTCCACGAGTGGTACTAGACCAATGTGCTCAGCCTTTATTCTCAGGTGCCGCCAGAGCCCGGGCCCACATTCAGTGCTGCCACCATCCAGCTGTGCTGACAGGGTCCCGGGCAGAGGGGCAGCAGCAACAGCCAGTGACCAGGGCTGGTGAGGTCCAACGGCAGCTGCAGAGGTCGGTGCTCCAAGGCCCTGCCCCGTGACCGAGTGCACCGCAAGTGCTCAGCACAAAGCCGAGTGCACAGCCAGGGTGAGAGCCAGGGTGCCCCAGTGGGCTGGAAGGCTGTGCCCAGTCATGCATCTGCACTCAGACCCCTTCCAGTCTTCCTTAGGAAACCTCGCAGACTCCCACGACGCTGAGATTTCTGTAACCTCTCGGGGAATCACCCTTCGCTCTTCCATAATTCCAAGGCTTCTGCCTGCTTGCATAAACTTGTATTCTGCTAAAATTAATCAAGTTCTGTGCTTTTGTCTGCAGTAGACCTCAAGATTCCAATTAATGGAATTCTGGAAATCACATCACAGCTGAGAACAGTTCAGAGGAAGATCTTGGTGAAGTTCAGAGCCGGACTCTGAAATGGGTCTGCTGTTGAAGGCTCCCATCAGGCCCAGCAAGGCCATGTCTGAACAGTTTTGGGGTGATACAGGCTCACCGCAGTACAGAAAGGGCATGAAAGGACACAAGAGCAAGCAGCACTGGGAAAGGGAAGGCCCGCCTTCCCAAGTGCCAGTGTTCCGCCTCGGGGAACAGATGTGGTAAGGTGTCCTTCCAACACGTACTATATGTGCTTATTCACCTTGTCTTTCCTATACATACTTCCAGAAGTCAAGAATAATGCGTGTTCATGCTTTACGCAGCTTTTCAGCTTCAGCCGTAGGTCCTGAGGCCCTTCTGTGGGTACACAAGAAAGAGACAGAACCTGCAGGGGTTTGAGAAGTCTCCCTGAACCACACCAGGAGCCATCAGCCAGGCTCCTGCTGCCACGACTTCCAGCCGTTTCCCACCTTTCTCCACGAGGCTCAGAGTGATCCTGTCTCTGTCCGTGTCATGGCCTGCAGGCTACATGGGGCTCATCCCAAGCAGAACCTCTGCCTAGCAGCAGTTGTCCCCGAGTGTTGCTATTTCTGCCCTCTTCTCTCTGTGCAGACCATCAGGTGACGTCTCCGAGGCTGGCGCAGAGGCCCCGGAATGTGCTGTGCCCCTGTCCCATCTTCCCCCCTGCCCCTGCTGTACCCTCATCACCAGTCTCCTCCACACTGTCATCGGGACTGCACGGGTTACAGAGCTCGATGTCAGTGTGCTCTTGGATGGCAGAGGAGGACCGGTGCCTGCTCAGGAGCGGCGGGCTAAGCTGTTCAATGTTTTAAAGAGCAATTCTTGTCAAAAGAAATGCACACACCACGCAACTCGCACACAACTTGGCTGTGCACACAGTGCAGGGGCTTTGGTGTTCCTATAGGACACATGATCATTGCCTAGACCTAACTTAGGCTCCCCAAGAACCATGGAATCCCTCAGCAGTCGTTTCCATCCCATCATTAAAAATCCCCTTTCTCGCTCCCCAAGTCTGCCTGTGCTGGGCGCTGTGTAGAAATGGAGTCCTGCAGTGCGTGGCCTCTGCAACTGGCTGCTGGCCTTGGATCCAGGAAGGCGGACACAGCACTGCGTGTCTGCACTTCATTCTGTCTTAGTGTCGAAGGGTTTCCCCTTGTAGAAATGTGCCACGTTTCCTACATCCACGGTTGATGGAAACCACTGCCCTTCCAGGGCTGAGCTATGAAAGCGGCGCTGCCAAGAACACTCCTCTGTGAGCATGTGTGCACATGCTGCGGCCCTCCGGGAGGACAGCCAGGCACGAGCAGCCGCGTCTGCGGAGCCCGCTCGCCTGCTCTGCAGGCTGCTGGGTTGCTTTCCACAGCAGCTGCACCCGCTTGGCGCCCAGCTTCCTCCCTCAGGGCCCTTGCCCGGCTCACCCACGCCTGTGCTGGTCACAGTTCCCCAGAGCCTGTGGCCTGACTCCGATGACAAGCCACCCTCGCACCTGTCGTGGGCTCGGGGGCTGCCTGCACACCTGTAGGCCCTTTGTCCTGTCGCTGGTTTTCCATCCCAGTGCTCTGGAGTCGGGCCTCTGGGTACAAGTCAGTGATCAGAGTCACGATTTTCAGAGATCCTGCCACAGTCTGCAGGCGGACTCACCCAACTTCAATGAAGAAGCCAATTCATAATGCATTTCTTACACAAATTTTGCATCAAAGTTGTCTTTCGCATTAACTGGACTCCAGGGCTCATTTAACAATAATCATGTTTTTTCAGCTTATCTAAGAATCAGACAAGTTTGTTATTACCCCTAACAGTAGGTGTTAGCCATTGCTGTGAAGTGGACGAGTGCAGCTGAGGTGTTACCTAGAGCAAGTTTCCTAACGAGATGGATTTGAAGCTTGAGATTCCCATGACTTTGTGAAGCACATTAGTTTTCCTGGCAGTAAACCCAGGTCATGTGAGGAGAAGATCACTCATGAACACAACACAAGCTCTTGTTTTATGAGCTTGGTGGAGATCAGGTATGTGGAGACCCTCTGCTATGCCTGAGTGCTCATTCTGGGCATTTCACAGGATGCGCAAACGCAGACACCCCTGGGGCTCCTGAACATTGCCACAGCATGCTCTACGGGGAGCAAAGGGGCTAGGGACTGGGGTTCTCACGGCAGAGGGACACCTGCGCTATGGTCAGCGTTGGCTCCTGAGCTTATTCCATTCCATTACTTGATGTGACACAATCCGATTTGCCCCATTAACTCAGCCTTGGCTGAAATGCCTGAAAGGTCTTCGATGAACTTGAACTGCTGAAGGCTGAGCACTGGAGGCTTATTTCCTTTGGGGCCCAGTGTCCCTCTTTCATAAGGAGTGTAGATGTTCAGGTTGGGAGCAATCCAGCCAATAAGCTCGGGCAGGCGCTCAGCAGTGACAAGCACTGCATGGCTCTGCGTCCCTGCTCGAGCCTCCGCGGGGCACTGGGCAGCCTGTGTGGCCACGCTCTTGTTCATGAAGTCAACCTGCTGGTGGTGACTTGAGAGGAAAGGGGAAAGGCGCTCAAAGAGTCAAGTGAGTTCTGATTATAAAAACGTTTCTAATGCAGGGCGTGTGACAATAGTCCTGAACCACGTGGGTGTTCAGTGGAGACCTCTGGTGTGTAAGTGATTAAAAGGCAACGCAGGGGCTGCCCTGTGCACACGAAAGCCTTTCTGCAGGCGGGCAGGACAGAGGGACCTAGGACTGCCGCCTGGCACTTCCTTCTCTGTCCCGGAGATGGAAACAAGGTGGTGGACAGCGCAGGAGGATCTCACTCTGGTGGGAGCTTTTCTCACACAGGTCATGGGAGCCTTTCCGCGCCACACACAGTCCTCAACCCCAGCGCCAAACCAACTGACCCAGTCGCATTCTATTTAATGTATGTCCTTGTGGAAAGTTACTCACTGAGGCAGCTCCTTTAGGACAGATGTGTAACAGGTACAAGTTACTTCCAACTGCTTGTACATCTTGGTATCGCACCTGAACCTTGCAGAGAACCATTTTTAATTTCCCTGGTTTGAACCATTTTTAATTTCCCTGGTTTGAAGCTGTAAGGGAGCTGGGCAAGGGAAGAAGGTTGCCCAGTGGCACCGCCCCAGCGCCACCACCATGCGTTCGAGGCCTCCTCTGTCAGCACAGAACTGTTGGGGAAAACCTTCCCATTCCGACAGTTCGATAGCTTGTGTGTGTGTATGCTTTGCACATGTTTTCATAGCTTTACTTGTCATTTTTACCTACTTCTTTTTGACTTTAATAATTTAGCTTTCTGAGAGTAGTATTTTTTTTTTTTTTTTTTTGTGGTACTGGGCATTGAACTCAGGACCCTGCACTTGCCAGGCAAGTGCTTATTGTACTGAGCTATCTTCCTGGCCCCACTGAGCTACCTCCCCAGCCCAAGTAGTAGTAAAGGTTAATAATTTTCAAATTTAACTCATCTTTGTTTTCAGCATTATTATATATTTCTTGGTACAGCAATGTGGACATTAATGTAGTGATTAGCACAGGGATTGCATTATTTCTAATTTTTTGTTTGTCTGTTTTGCTTTTCAAAGGAATCTGTCTGCACTGTGTCCTAAAACCTGCCCATCTTCCTGGTTTTTGCACTCGGAATGCTTTCCTGGCCACATTCTTTCCGTGGCTTCCTGGCATGATCACGTGAAGGCCCACGTGAGAGCCACCTTACAAGTGCACCGGCTCACCTTGCCTCTCTAGCTTGAACTTCCCGAAGTCTTTCCCATGTATGTCACCTTGAAAAGTGAAGCCTCCCCTCTCCAGTCCCGAGGACACCTGGCACATAGAAAAAGAGAGAGGATGTGTGAGCAGGAGCGTCGAGGACGCATCCTCTGCCCCAACGTGCGGGCGCAGCCTGGGTTTAGCAGTGCAGGTTCCATGCTGCAGGTACCAGTCTCCTCTGGCTGAAACAGCTCCAGCTAAAACCGGAGACCAGTACAAGGCGAGCCTCAAGGAGCGTGCACAAGTGCTGCTGCGCCGCAGCACACAGGGCTGCCCACTCCTGCGTCAGCCCCCCCCCCCCCCCCCCCCCACCCCCCCCCCCCCCGCGCTGGCGGACAGCCGCGTCTGCCAGCTCACTGTGCACCTCGGGCCTGGCCTGCGTACCCGCTCGAGGCTGACACAGGTAGCTACCTGAAGACACTGTGGGGATGTCCATGCTCTCTGGCACGGGCAGTGCTTTTGTGGAGCTTCCAGCCTGTTTCCTGGCGGCTACAGCACTCTTGCTGAGATGGCGTGGCAGCACCGCCTTGCGCTCCTCCAGCCTCAGCCACTTGCTCCCGTCCACCGTGAAGGCTAGGTGGTGTGCTGTGGGAGCTCCAGGCCCCAGTAGGTGCGCCTCCTCTGCCCCGCCTCCAAGTCACCCTCCTGCCCATCGTGGAGTGTTCCTGGCCTCTGATCAGTACTTACGTAGCCATCCAGGCCCCAGTTGTCGTTCTCGAACTTGCTCACAAAAATGTCCACCTGGCCTTTCATCTGAAAGGCTTTCAGAAGCAAGTGAGCCTCCTCCTTCTTGTACAGCCCTGTGGAAGGAGCACCGCATCAGCCCCTGCTGCCACCCCTAGCCCCGCACACAGGCAGTCTAGGGCTTGCACTTCCTCCTGGGCGTCTGATGTCTCCTTCCCTTCCCGTCCTCGCCTGGGTCGGTCCTAAGAGGTGTAGCCCGCACCAGCTCCAACATCTTTACCCGACAGGAGGACTCACAGGAACCCATGTTCAGTTTTGCTAATGGGAAGATCCTACTCTACGCCCAGGATTTTTTTGCTGCCGAGGATAGAAGCTCACAAGGAACCAGATCAGTACTGTGACTCATGACAAGCAAGGGCCTGAGACCTGGGAGGGTGGGCAGCAAGGCAGGAGGTGAGGAGCCCCTGGGAGGAGAGGGGCAGCGCTGGCCCTGGGCACTGCGGTGTGGCCGGACAGGGAGCCAGGGAGGCCCTGAGGGCACAGCTGGGGGAGTGGCGCCTGTGCTTAGCTCCCACCACGGGACGAAAGGAATTAATGTGCAAGCAAGCCAAGAGTGAATGGTGTGCAGGACCCACTGTGCCCGCATGCAGGGAAGGCAGGAGGCTGGGGCAGGGGTGCCACAGTGCAGCAGTGTGGGCCCATCAGCTTGGAGGGGAGGCCTGGGGAGGCTCCTGGGCCAAGAGGGATCCCGGGGCAGTGTCTGTGCCCACCGCAGATGCTGATCTTGGATGCCCTGGGTACCTCTGCCACACTAGTCCAGTCTGAGCTGCAGGCAGAGGGAATAGAATGGGCCTTCAGCAGAACTTGGCATACATCCGACAGTGGTACCCACACACTCATGGCGGAAACGCATTTCCCCTCCCTCTGCACTGAGGTCGCAGCCCAGGAGGCCTGCACAGCCCTGGGGCTCAAAGCCAGCTCTCCCCTCACAGGCTCCCGGGAGTGCACGGGGTCCCCAGCTGACCCACAGAGTCCCCATGCCACAGCCTAGCCTCCTGTGCTGTCCACGGATGCAGGGAAGAGCCACAGTAGGCTCCAGACCTGCTGGCGTGGACAGGGCAGCTGTCTGCTATCCTTGGTGACACAGTGGTGGCGTTGAGGTTTCTCACCACTCAGACCCAGGGCTGGGTCCTGTGGAGAATCTGGCAGGAATTCCAGGCCTTGAGAGCTAGGCAAGCACCATGCCATCACAAGAAGTGCAGGCGCTTCAAAAAGCACTCTGTGAGACATGATGCTGAGCGCGTCTCCACCACCAGTGTGGGCTCAAGGCTCTACTGAGGTTCCGTCCTCCCTCACAAGTCACTCATCACAGAAGCTTTAGAAAATGATTTTCTGGAACCATCTGACTTTCTGTTCCTTTTCCTAAAAATTCATTAAATATATAACAGGGGAACAGGCACTGTAGGGTTTGTGTAGGACTGAGGAAGGACTCCAGGAATGCTGGAGGTGAAGGCCTGCTAGAGCCCACACGTCCTCTGCTCCGGCGGCGTGTGCCTTGCTCAGGGGACATAGGGGCTGTGCTGGAGGACACGGAAGAACAGCCTGGGGATGGGGTGCCCAGAAGTACCCGAGCCTTGGTTTTGCTCAGAACCTGGGAGAGACTCATTCATCCTGTACAGGTTCTCCGGCGGCAGGGAGGTGCAGACAGCGCCGTCCCCACCTACGGGCTGTGAAAGCCAACACTGCACTGCGCTTTAGAGCAGGCACCAACGAGGCACCAGGGATGATCGGTGAGACGGTGGGACCCACCTGTCAGGTCCAGCTGCACCTGTGGGGCTGTCGTGAAGGTCGCGTTCACCTTGCTGCTGGTCGCGTTGAACCAGTCAACAGTCAGAGTCGCTGGCTGCCTCTTGCCCAAGTATTCATAATAGCCCTTCCACACCGAATTGACGAAAAAGACATCAGAAGGAACTGTGGGAAGGGAGGGGACAGATGCTATTAGTGCACATGTGGCCTGCAGTGTGGACAGCTCCAACCGCAGCAAGCATCACACCCTTGGGTGCACTTGTGGCCCACCGTGAGGACCTCACCGACAACCTGGCGCCCTGTCCCCTGGCCCTGTGTGACGGAGTCAGGAGAGAGGCAGGACGATGACTGGGCCTGCATGGGGACATCTGGGCTCTGCCGGGAATGTATTTCAGAGGGCAGAGGTAGCACGGCAACAGGCCTGCGGGGGCGGGGCCTCAGAGCAGCTCTGCAGGGCAGGCTGGTGGTCATCATGCCCAAAAGCAGATCCCTGAGCTCACTGGTGATGGCAGCTGATGTCCAGCCCTCAGCCGCTAAGCGTGCAGTGCTCCTGAGCGGGGCTGGGTCAGAGCCCTCCCTCACAGGCTCGCTCCCAGCACTGCTGAGGCTCCGGGCACAGGGTGAGCAGGCGGAGGCTGCCTGGGGCAGATGAGGTCAACTTCTCTCCCACCGGGCCTCCGCCTGCTCTAACCCCTGGGAGTGCTGCCCAGCGTCAGACAGGCGCATGTGCCCACCTCCCCTGTCCCTTCACCTATGCCTCAGATCCACATAGGAAAGGCAGCGATGAGGACTCACCCGGGGCAGGAATCTGCGCAGATTACTGACATATTCTCTCTCGCTTTCACTACCTTACAAACAGTATTATGTTGGTGTTTCACACCACTCTAATAATCCTAATAAAAGCACGTGTCTGTGTAGTGCTGGGGTAAGGTGCGCAGCAGGGAGCACACAGCTCAGCCGGTGGCTCCGTGAAGCTCTCGTTGTCCCCCGCATGAGGCGTGTGAGTCCTCTACACAGACACAGCCCTCTGGACGTCAGACTGGCTGCGGGACCTCGAGCTGCTGGCCAAAGTGAAGACCGGCTCCACCCTCCGTGTGTGTTTTCAGCTGTCCCAGTTTAAGTGGCAGCAGCAGCGAGGTCTTGGACAGCCCCCGGCCTCACGTCCCACTCAGCTCCCACAGCCGCCCTCCCGTCTCCCCACTCAGGCCACTCATGTGAGACTCAGCCACCTGCAGGCAGTCCAAGAACAAAGGCTGGCAGCTTCCCAGGCCTTGAGGAGCCCAGATTATTGACAAAGACAGTAAAAGTTATAGAATTAAGTAAATTGAAAACCGAGAGACCAGCACCAGCTCGTGAATGGCTGATGTCTAAAGCGCTTACTTCGCAGTAACTGGCATTGGTCACCTCTACTCACGGTGAGCACCAGACAGCCCTCGGTGTAACTGGGCACTCCGGGGAAGATGCTTTGGGTCACAGCTCAAATGAATAGCTACTTCTGGCTGCTGAGCTCGACTAGAACACATACTCAGCTGCAGTCTGAGCCCGAGCGCCCAGCCGTGCCCTGAGCCCCACCCCTGGGAGCGCTGCGGTAGTGTGCCTGCCTCACTGCGTGGCCTGGGCCATCACTGGCTTAGAACAGGACCGCCAGCCACGGGGGAGAGGCCACTGCGGGGGCCGCGGCAGCATGTGACTGACAAGGGAGCAAGAACAAGGTCGGAAGGAACGGCTGAGCTGGTGAGAACACAGCACCCGGATGAAGAACCACATTTAACTGGTACATTAACTGTGCTTCCCTAAGAGAGGCAGAAGAGGCGCGGCGGCAGCAACATGCAGGCCCGCAGGAAGCGTCCCAGACATCGCAGTGTCTTAGACTAGAAAGCAGCAAATAAAAAGGCAGGAAAAACCGCAACATCACCAACACGTGCTGTGCTGGGCTTCCCTTCACTGAAGAAGGTGTTGCCCAGACGGAATAGCGCTGTCTGCCATCTGGCTTCGGGCAGTATCTAAGTAAAGTAGTCCACGCACGGGAAAACGCTTCTGTGCTTCCTTGTGTGTACTGGAGAGCTTTCTCTATGTTGGTGCACTTCATCCCAGCTAAGCGTGAAATGTGCAGCACAGCATTCTGAATTAACAGCATTGCAAATATTTTTATTCACATTGATGTTAAAATCGAGCTTTACGTCTGAGAATCCTGGGTTAGAACCAGAATAAGAAAAATGCTCGCCAAGTAGCCTCACTTATTTATAAAGTTTGCAACTTCTGATTTGAAGAAAGAAGCTTGGCTTAAGCCAGTATAACTAGGGATACAGCCTATTAGTTAAATAGTACCCACAAGTGTGCCACTGATCTGCTGGGGCTTCCAGTCCCCACATTCTCTTCTAGGGACAGAGGGCCACCCTTTGGGTACATTCAGCAGGGCCCTCACAGACTCTCGGCCATCCCCAGCAGTGAGAAGGACACCTTGAGTTAGAGACATTCGCAAATGAGTGGAAGAGTCCCAGCTACTCAAACGACAGCATGCGCTGCCGGGCCCTGGGCGGCTCCTCATGTGCAGGAGGGGGGCTGCACCCTTATTTAAAAGGCTCTCCATTGTACCACACTGGGTTCCATTTGTGTCCCTTTCTGCCCCCAAGATACACAGGGCACCCTCTGGTGGGCAGTGACCAGAGGTCCCAGGGCTTTGCTCCTGATTGATGCCTTCCACTAAAATCCCACTGAGGGGCAAGGAATCTGGGTCTGAAACGCTAGCTTTGCGTGGATGAATGGATTCAGAAATCCAAGGGCTAGAGGCCACCTCATTGTGCGGAGGGTACCGAGAACAAGCCAGTCATGTGATCGAAATCTGTAACTGTTCTGGTATACAAACCTGGAGTTTTAGTAACTGTTTCATTAACTTCTCTCACTCCTTTACCTACAAGTAAAAAGACAAATTATCATTTTCAAAAACATTTTTTTGAATAAAGTTGAAAAAATGTCAAGTTGAATCAATTTTCCTTTCTCCAGATTTTTTAAACCTATGAACTATGAATATGGTAAACATATACACTTAAACCCGTGTGTCAGCCATGTGGGGGCTGGCTCCGTGGAGAGGCCCGAGGTGCGCCCTTGCAGCCTGTGTCCCCGTGGAAGGTGTACAACAGAGAGCCTTGCAAATGAGGAGCTGCCGCCTCGCCCTGCAGTGACACCCAGGAGTGGGAAGGGTTCTCGCCTCTCTGGCTTTTCCAGTCCCTAAAGCTAGCACTGAAGCATGTCACCCCGTTCTCTTTGCGTAGTGTTTAGTTTGGTCTGTAAGTCAGATTTCATTTACGGTCTCTTAACTTTATAGATTTATAGCAATCTGCCACAGAGTGTTGTATTTTAAAGCTATATTCTGCTTCCAACAGGCAAGGGCAAAAGAAAGTGCACATAAGCATTTCCTAACTGGGGAACTGCAGGCAAATCAGCCCCGGGAGCTGGGGCTGAACCGGGGATGCCCTCTCGCCTAGGAACCCTGCTCCTGGCTCAGACTCGGCCTGCGGTGTGGTCTCCGCTTGGATGCTGCCAAGAAGTTTCCATCTTGGGATAGACTCGAGCTTATTACTCACCCATAAACACACGAATGGAGAGCAATCAGCTGATCATTTCCATGAGAATTGCTTTTGCAATTTAAAAATATAACCAACATTAAGAACCTATGAACTTCTGTTCTGTCACAAACAGCTCGTGGCCTTAAAACCTAACACAGGTGGTTTGATTTACATAGTCTCAGACGCTGGATGATATTTATGTATCCATTTCCATTTCTAAGGAATGTATTTTTGAAAATATTTGGTTATTTTTGTTTTAACTCAGAATGCTTTTCTTCAACCAGATGGCTTTTTCTCTTTGCCTTAAAATGGAGATAGCAGAGTCTACTACTCACGCATCGAGCACTTAACTGCACACATATAGAGACACCCATGGCTCATGCGCACGGAGCGTGTCCAGCCGGGGGGGGGGAGTGGCATCCCATTGGCACCCCGCGTCAGTCGGAGCTCATGCCTGCCTGCCAGGTGACACAGCCCTGCCCTGAAGGATAAGCTTCCACACCTGCACAGTGACTTACTTTTACACACAGGTGACTTCCCCGTCCATTTCATATCTGCCTTGCACGTCCTGTGTTCAGATCCGCCAGCAAGGAAAAACCCTGGGTGGCACGTGTACACCAAGGTGTAGCCAAACGCAGGAAGGTCGATGGCCCTCACGTCCGCGTGGGCTGGGGTCTCGGGTTGCCGGCAGGCGTGAGCTGCAAAACATGGCATTGCTGTGGTCAGGCAGGGCTGGCTCCTCATCCACCGCTCCGAGCGCAGGAGCTGAGGCCAAGGGGCGGTGCGCAAGGCGCCGGCCACGACAAGTGACTTTATGCACACACGTCGCACAGTCATGTGCAGAGCTTCAGCACGGAAGTCTTCGTGCAAAGTTACACAGCAAGCCTGATAAACAGTGCGGAGAAGCAGCACGCTCTGCTCTCCTCAGCCGTCAGTCTTGCCAGCTAATGTGGACAGATGCACTCCGCTCTGCTGGACCGCATCCGGTGACAAGAAGAGCAGGGTGCAGCTGAGGGAGTGGGGAGGACCTCGAGTGTATGTGGACTTCATGGAAAGGGTGTGTGTCCCTGAAACACGGAATCTAGGCATGAAGGCCACTGTGATGCTTATCTGTAGCTCGACTTCCTGTGTGTCTGAAATAAAGGATTTGGCAGATTATTATAAAAAACGTTTATAATTCTAGAACAGGGAAGTTGCTTTATGTGTTGTCAAAATTTGGCCTGTACCTCCCTGCCAAGTGCTCACCATAATGACTTCCTAGCAGGCTCTATGACACACAATACGCAGTACTGTGTGCCACATGCTACATAATACGTGTGTAGTAAGTGGTGAGGCAATGACAACTCTGAGATAACACACGATACTTACACGTAATACTGTAAGTATACAAAAATCCTTATTTTCTACCCTAACGATTTTTCTTGCCTACTAATGATTTTGATGCTTACCATGGTAGAAGTACAATATTTTGATAAATAGTGAGTGAACCGAATTACTAATTTACTAACCACGCAAAACATTTTCATCTTATGATTGAAACAAAGTAAACTTTGAGCTTTAGTTATTCAAACAATCATCTCTTACATACTTCAAACAGCAAAAATAGCATTTTATTTTTCAAATAATTTAACATCAACTTTATTAGACTAATTTCATGAGTTCTCATGAACTTTATTTTTCATTTTTTCAAACATTTTCAAATACTTTGTTTCACAGTATTTACAAATTATGTAATTTTCTCCAAAATAGAGCACAGACTTGGCATCTCTCTATCAGCTCCATGCTGGCCCTTATCTCTGAAGCTTGTATGGACAATTTCAGTTTTGTGTATCTTGGTATGATTTTATTAATATTTCTTGTACAAAAAGTTCATTTTTCTTGGAAATGTGGTGCTACAATTTTAACTAAATACAGAAATTTTAACTCTTTAAATACTTATTGTCTACCCCCTTCCACTTTGAGAACTTTAATTATATGAATATAAGTTTCTTGATTTTGGCACAGAAAGAAGTACATGACTGACCTATAAGCTCTTCTTCATGTTTATTTTAGAAATTTTTATTGTTATATTCATTAAGTTGTAAATAACTTTTTACAATGTGCAATCTATTATTAATCTCATTTATGCATTCATTTCAGAAATGTTTTTCTAAAATTCACTCTGTCTACATCCTATGACTTTCACATTTCAATATTTGTCTACAATCTTAATTTGCTATATAATCATTATTGATTTTGAATAAAGTTAATAATGAGAGGGAAAAAAAGGGAGGTAAGAAGAGTAGGGGCCAGGAGATGGGTCCAAGGGACCAGAGTCAGAGAGTGAAGAGCTTAATGGAGGGGGAGGCACAACACAGCTCGCTTCTACGTAAACGGTATTTGTAACTCGTAATAAATCAAGTTCTTTAACCGCATTTCAATTAAAATGGTAAAGTAACTCTTAGTGGGTGAGGACAGACGGAGGGGAAGGACTCTGCCCTCCCCACGCTTCATCCCGAGAGTCCGTAGTGATGTCTAAAGTAAACTCGTGAGACAGCAGACTGTAGTTCACACACGCCCCTCGAGACCAGGCCTGGGGCAGGGTGGACGGCGGGCACCCTACAATTCTTACATGGTTTTTGTGCTATGTTCCCTTCCTTTCAAGAACTACATCTCTTTGTTACTTAAGAAATAAATATATAAACAAAAGGAGCATTTCAAACATTTACTCTCCTTCTCTGTCCTAGCACAGGGCCCAGGGGCAAGTGCAGAGCAGTCGGCCCCGCCCTACCCTCGCACCATCTCTCCCTCCGAGCGCCTGGGGTCCCCCAGCAGGGTGTCCCACACCCAGCCCCAAGCCTTGGCCTCGCTCGTGCTGCTGTCCTGGGACCGGCAGCCCTTCGGTGCACCTCAGGCGATCCTCAGTGTTTCAGGTTAGGAAAGCACGCCACGCGCCCAGCGCCTCCCGGCTGCCCCGAGGCCGCACCTCCCCGCCAGGCAGCCTCGGCCCCACTTACGTGTACACTCGGCCTGCACGCCACTCCAGGTGAGGTTGGCCAGGCAGGTCCGGGTCGTGGAGCCCTGCACGTGGTAGCCTCTCCTGCATCTGAAGAACACGGTGCTCCCCACCTGCAGGGAGACCACAGGCATCGGGGCCGGCTGCAAGCTGCCCTCAGGGGCTTCTCCCCGCGCTCTGCCCAGGATGAAAGCACTCTGTCTCACGCTGTGCTGTTTGTCTTTCCTCTGTACTTCCAGAATTTTCTCTTATTATTCTGTAGCGACTGTTCATTACCTTTTCATTTCTTTTGCTATTTACATCTGAAGCAACTGGAAGGTACTGGCAGGTCACTCTGGCTAACCCTCCCAGGACCTGCTGTCTAAGCCTCCATCCTGGCCGTCCTCCTGCTGCTTTGGACCTGTGAACTCTGCAGCACGCGGAACATCTGAGGCATCCCCCTGCCCAGCCTCCCTAAGCGCCTCCTTCCCTCCTCGGGCTTTGCTCACATCCCGCTCCTCTGTGCACGCCTCTTGATCTTCCAACGTGGACTGTCACCCTCTGCCCAGCACTGGATGCCACTGTCACCACAGTGAGCTGCAGCTGCCTGTGTGCTCCCTGAGCAGGCCCCTGGCCCAGCGGAGGGCCTCGGGGAGGTTTGGGTGCCCCGTGCGTCTGCTTCAGCGAATGCGCTGCGGTTGGCCACGTGTAGAGGGCACTGGGATCACCCATTATGATCCCACTGGGGCGAGGGACTGGGGGAGGGGAACAGAACTGCAGAAGGGACAGCGGCCTGCAAGGCAGCCTTGCCCCAGCACAGTCTGACCCAGTGACATCTAGGACTTGGGCCACACCTCTGTCCCCGTTTCTCCCTCCCTCCCTCCTTCTTCCATGTGTGTGTCTTCTCACAGCCCCTCCAGCCTCCTAGGATTTGGGGAAAACGATCATAAAATATGAGGAAGTGGTTGGTATTGAGAAGTGACAAGCCACTCCTGGCACAAGGAAGTGGGCATTTACATGGGAAAACATTCCAAAGGACACCAGGCTCGAGTCAATAACTGATCGACACTTGGTGATGAGTGGAGGGTCAGCTGGCCCCACCCCACTGCAGACGGCACATGCCAAACCTCCTCTGAAGTACATGGAGGTCTCACTCCAAGCCCTGGGAACCGGGGACATGAAGGCAGGGGAGCCCATGTCTAGTGTAGAGACCACAGTGCCCTTTCTGGGCAAGGTCTTGCCAGATGCGCAGCCAAGCTGGAGTTCAGGGACACCTCTGAGCAGCTCATGAAGGTACAGGAACCCAACCCTCGACACAGTCACTGACTGCATACATAGGGTGGCCGTGTCTGACCTGTGGTGGTCCACACTCAGTGCTTGCAGGAGTCAGTGAGGTTGAACCCACACAGAGGACAGGCCCCTTTCCCTAGAAGCCTTTTCCTGAAGTGTAAGGCCATGCCCGAGTCACGACATAAATGGGCCACAATTCCAGAACTCACTTCCCCTGAGCACTTCCTTCCTGGGGCCCAGCAGAGGGGCTGGGGTGGCAAGGTGCTCCGGACAGCGAGATGGGCAAACAGCACGCCCGAGTGGTGCGGGAAGCGCCTGTGGAAGGAGACTGGGCTTCCAAATGGGCGGGATGCACACATCAAAAGAAGTACACACACTGGACTTGGGCTCTAAGCCACACTGCCAGGGAGCCAGGGACCTGCTCAATTATTCAAGATGGTTTGAACATTGCACGTCAAGCTTCACTACATTTCATTTTTAAATATTTGTCCGATATTAGAGATTTTAACTTTTTTTTTAATTTAGTTACGGATTTGGTACAGGGTCTTGCTACACAGCTAGGACTCATAGTGATCCTCCTGTTTTAGCCTCCAGTGCTGGGGTTACAGGCGTGCGCCACCACACCCCATCTAGAGGCAAGCACGGCCTGCGGTACTGGGGATCGAACCTGGGTCCTTGAGCTTGCCAGGGCGGCGCTTAGATGGCCGAGTTAGCTCCCCAGCCCTAGGCAGAGTCTTGATGCACCCTTCATTAAACAGTCCAGTGCATATTCCAGTGTGACATCCTTGTGCCACAACCCACGACGCTGCCTTCAGGAGTCACAAGCAGAGCAGATCACAAGTAACATGGCGTGAAAAGATAACATCTCCTCTCGCCCTCTCGCTGCTCTCTGCAGCACCAAGATGCTGTCGCTGCCATCGTACCTCGTCCGTAGAGAGCGGCCGAGGCGCAGCTGTGCGGCACAGAGTAATCTCAGCTTGAGAGTCGCCCTCTGGTTCAACAGACACTAGATGCGTAAGTACAGGGGCTTCCAAAGAGAAGCTAAGACAGCCAGTGGGACCGGGATGCTCAGCCTACACGCGATCATCCAGATTTCGTAGTTAGAAACACACTGAAGCCCTCACTGGATGACTCAGAGCACGTATAACAGGACGAAAATACCGCTTGTGAAATCTACATGCATGCTGAAGTACCAACCCCATTTTATATTTCTAATGAAACAAAATACCTCATATCCTCTAGAACTGTTTTGTATTCCGAAGTGTGGGGTGCCAGGGTCCGGGCAGGTGTTATGTGCAGGATCTGAAATTCACAATCAAAACAAAACACTGCAGCATTTTTACTAAAATATTTTTCAAATGGAGACCAGTGCTTGGGCAAATAGGAAAGATATTTCTCATAAATGATAAAAAAGTAAATTACTATTCTGATCTCTGCAGATATCTTCAGAAAGGAATGCTTTGTGTTCACTATGCTTCAAGCAGATTTGCAGATACTTATCATAAAGGAATAATCTCTCTATGAACCTCTCTACCAACATCTAGTTGGTCAGTCCTATTGTGTGATCTATAAATACCTATCATGGTATTCTAGCCTACAAAAATTAATGAATGGTTATCAGAGCTGCTTATCCATGACATTCGTACATGCTTCCTGGACATGTTTTCCTCAAGATTTTAGAATGAGAAGACTATCAGTGGTCCACATGGAAGCCTGCGGGCTGCCAGCAGGGACCTTCCTCAACTCAGAAGGACACGAGCCAGCCGGACCGGCTGCACTACACTACGGCTGATCCTAGCTGCACACAGAAAAACAAAAATGTCACTATTTGAAATTTATTTTCTAGAACAACCAGTTAACTGGAGGAAACTATTTGCAACACAGAGATGTCTATCACCTAGCAGTAGTTCAAATCAAGCGACAGCAACTCCCAAGTTTTATTTGATTTTTATTTTGGGGCAGAACTGGGGATTGAACTCAGGCCTTTACACTTGCCAGGCAAGTGCTTATTCTACTGAGCCATCTCTCTGGCCCCTTAAATTTTAAAAAATGCTTTAATGAAATTATTTCTGATACCATATTTTCAGTGGATATCATTTAATTTCCTAGAAAGTAACCAAAACTAAAGACTAGTACTTTTTGTTCTAAATTTGCAGAGAAGAGTAAAATCAGGTGATGTCAACCCAAGAAGGCGAGTCTGAGCAATGGAACAGCCAGGTCACCTCTGACGGCTGGGGCTTTGGGACGGCATGCCTGCATCTGTCCAGGGGTTGGGTCAGGACTTGGCACGCAGTGCCAGCCTGGGGTGCAGCCTTAGGGGGCCGTCACCTGCCTGCCTGCTGCCAGCACTGACTCCAAGCAGCCTCTGGCCCAAAACACTGCATCACCCCACTTAGAAATAACTCGTCCTTTTCTGGAAGAGTCCCAAACACTAGGGCCAGGCAACCACATGCTTTAGTGTATATCTGGGTCACCCCAAGCCTCATGAACTCATAGGTGGGGCTTCGGTGGTGACTGAGGCATGGACTGGGCCACTGAGGTGTTTGCAGTTGAGGGTGGGGCTGGGAGGTGGGGCCTGGTGGGCAGTGGCCTGGGACGTGGCTGGGAAGGTCACCCCTCCTCCTCCCCGGGTCGCTGTGCTGCTTGTGGCCACGCGATGAGCTCCTCTGCTGTGCCACCTCGCCTTGAAGCCAGCGACCCAAACTGAAGCCCTACAAACTGTGGGCCTAGACAACCTCTCTTTCCTCACGCTGTGGATGTCAGATACTTTGTCCCAAGAACTAGGAAACAGCGAAGACACCAGTGTTACCTATGCAGGTGGGCTGAACACCGCTCCAGGTGCCGTCGGCCTGACACGTTCTCCGCGACGACCCCACCAGAATGAAGGGCGCCTTGCACTGGAAGAAGACCTCAGACCTGAAGGTGAAGCTCTTCCCGCTGATCCGCCCCTCGGCTGGCGCCCCGGGGTCTCCGCAGAACACGGCTGTGGGCATGGACAGGAAGACCGCACGGTGAGCGGCCCTGCACAGCTCACCCTGCTGGACCTGGAAACCTGTTCTGTGAAGCCTTCCGAGTCAACTACGGGACATAAGTGATCAAGCGGCGGGCGGCAGGCTGGGCCGATACGTGCTCCAGCCTGAGGCTTGCCCTCGGGGGCCGGTTAGCGTGTACGTAAGTACAAAAGAGTCTCAGAGTAAGGACACACACTGCTGTTAGTCCCCCAGTAGACTGCCCTTTACCTCAGGCGTAGTTACCCGCCACGCTCGCCACTTTCTGAAGCAGTTCTGGAAGTGCACATGTGTGTCTTTACAAGGTCTGATCGAAAACATGGTGAGTGCCAGTGCCAAGTCACACCCAAGGGGAGCTGAGGTGCTAAGAGCATTCCATGTGTCCCCACCCATCGGCTTCACCAGGTCTGGCCACATGTGAATTCTGGGTCTTACTCAGAGTCAAAGTGGCCATGAAAAGCCCATGTTCTGAATGGATTCAGGACATGAAAGGACAACCAAAGACATGCACGAAAGAGGACTCCGCAACTACTGCAGAAGCTGCAAAGAACCACGGGGCAAGAGCGCTCTGCGTGGGGCGGAGGGCTCTGCGGGAGGCCGGCACTGTGCCTTTCACCCTAACAACTTTTCAAAATGTAAGCATGTTCCATACTTTGGATCACGCCTCCTCTTATGCCTGGCGTGCTCAGGAGGCAGGACTCTGGGGCGGTACCGAGGCTCACCTGCCCTGGGGAAACGGGCTGTGCAGAACTTACGCAGGCACTGCGGGACCTCCCCTTTCCACACTCCGTGCCCCTCGCAGGAGAGGATGGCCGAGTGGGACAGCTGGAAGCCAGCCACGCAGCTGTAGCTGACACTGGAGCCCCAGCGGAAGTCGGCACCTTCCACCCTTCCGTTGGGCACAGGCGGGGGCGGGCTGCACAGCACAGCTGCGAAGAGAGAGTAGGGTGAGCACGTGCCTTCCGGCCAGGGCCACGCCCCACCACGCTCGCGCTTTTATTTGCCTGCATTATAGATGGCATCTGCATAGAATTTTTAAAATGAATTATTGAGGGGTTCTGGCAGGCAGGCAGCTACCTCCTTGGCATCCACCCTCCAAGGCGCCCTGCCGCTGATACCCTCCAGCAGGGCTGTGCCACCCCTGGGTAGCTCCTGTAGCTCGCTGGCCTCTACAGTCCCACAGTTGTGCCCTCCCCCACCTGGTACAGCGCCTGCTGCTATCCCATCACCAATGGGCACCAAAGCTCCCATTCCAAGCGCTTGCCCACGTTGGACACCGGCCGACAAAGCACTGCTTGTCCACCGCTGCTTTGGAGTCCTGAGCTGCTGGCTACACTTTTGCAGGAGTCAGTTTTTCTGAGAAACTTCTGAGAAACTGACCTTAACGTATTAGGAAAGCGAGAGGGACTTAGCAACTGCAAATGGGCTATTAGGAGTTCTGAGAATTCCTACTTTCAGGAATAGCTTTGTGACTAACTGCCAGATGAAGTTAAACCTAGCTCTGTGAAGACTCCTGTTCTCCTCAGCGAGATCAACGTGGGTGGGCCCCCACCTTTGCAGACAGGCTTGCTCTGGTTCCACGTGCCGTCCTTGGTGCACTGGATGGTGGACGCTAAGGCGGGCTCCATCAGGTACCCAGGGCCGCACCGGAAGCTCACAGTCTTGTTGAAGGTGAAATCAGTCCCAAACTGGACACCGTTGGGCAGCGTGCCTGGGTCTCCACAGCTGATAACTAACAGGCATGCAGCAAAAACAGGACAGAGAGGTGCGCCGTTATCCTGGCAGCAGGAGTTGCGACCTCAGTTCACACACTCTGTGAGGCTCTGTCCCAAGACCAGCCTGCAATTGGGGTGCCCAGCCCGGCGGGGGATGGCTGAGTGCCGGCTACGGGCTGCGCGCTGGCTGGCCACCCCCTCAGGATCCTTGGTCCCGTTCTACCACGGTGGCTGTGTAGATGGCGAGCGCTAGCCCACGGCTGTCCCTGTGTAGCCGTGGGTGAGATCTCACTTTGCTGGGGAAGGCCGGGCACACAGCTGTGGTCACTGAGCTAAGCAGCTGTTTGCAGAATAAATGGTCTGCAGACAGAAAATCTTGCTTTTTGTTTGCTCCAGCTTTACCATATCCAGCCTTAACTGGCTACGTAAAGTAGCCTCACTATACAATTGTCAGGTGGAGAATGCTGTTCCAGTACCTCAGCAGCCTGGGGCAGTGGTGCACACCTTTAATCCTAGCCCCTTGGGAGCCTGTGGCAGGAAGGTCTCAAATTTGACCCCTGCCTGGGCAATTTAGCAACTTAATAAGACCCAATCTCAAAATAAAATCTAAGGAAAGAGCTGTGGCTGTAGCTCCGTGCGGTAGACCCGAGTTCAATCACTAGTTTCAAAGCAGAAAAAGGTACTGAGGGGCCCGAGTCCCGGGATTAGTGCACTTCCTTTCCCTGCCCGAATCCCACTCGCTCCACAGTTGCAGGCCTCATCAGGTGCTCGGAGGCCCCCACCCACGGCACTCAGGTACTGACCTGTGCAGTCGGGCGCAGTGCCCGTCCAGGTCCCGTTGGCCGTGCAGTGCCGCGTGGTGAGCCCCGAGGTCTTGTAGCCCTCCCAGCACGCGTAGACCACAGAGCTGGCGAAGAGGATGCCGTCGCTGCTCACTATGCGGCCATTGGTGGGCGTGCCGGGATTCCCGCAGGACACGGCTGCAGAAGCAGAGGTGGCACGGGGCCAGCCGTGAGCACCACGGCAGACACAGGGCCCGAGGCCACGCCTGACCACCACGCCCTCAGAGTGCATGCATGCTGGAGGGCTTGCGTGTGTGCGACCAGGACTCGTGGGTTTGGTTACTGCAGCGCTACAAATGTGCAATATTGTATTTTCACACCATCTTTCTTGAAATGGGTTCCTTCTAGACCAATCAAAACATGAACAAGAAGTAAGAAACACACAGCCTTGCTGCTGTAGGGTTGAACCCGCTTTCGTGCCAAGATAGAATTTACCCCGATGACATGGGCCGCTGGGCAGCACCCTTCACACACAGACACACACACACACACACACGCACGTGCACACACGCACGCACGAATGCACGCACGCACTGGCTGACTTTGGGAGCTCTGGAGAATCAGATCTTTTGTTGCACTTCCAGGAGGATCCACTTGGAAAACAGCGTGTGGCTAAAGTGGGGCTGACCTAGGTGGGCGGGCTTGTGAGAGGGCCCCTGGCCCACCCAAGCGAGGGGCAGCTGTGCTCACCCGCTTGGACATGACTGCGCCTTGCACCTGAATGCTATGTGTAGGCAGTGAGGCCCCAGATAACCAGTGTGATAGGTCTACACCGCCTATGGCTTTGGAGTGTGTGCGTGTGTGCGTGTGCGCGTGCATTCTGATGCTGCTGGACCCGCTTTAGGGTAGTGAATTGAATCCCTCCTTCCCTTGCGCTCTCTCAGTTGGTCTGTTTACCAGAATAATGGTTACATTTCTGCATCATAAGGACGAGGACAAAGCAGACAGGTAAGGCGTGTGACGCTGCCGCACTTTCCTAGTGAGGAGGTGTCTCGAGCGTGCGTGGAAGTGAGGGACACGACTGAGCAAACTCCGCATGCTTAGCTGCTCCTTCTTGAAAGCCAGCCTTGAAAACAAAGACGCATTTCTTTAAAAAATATGGAGGAAAGCAGGCTGCCAAATGTGCTCAGCACTTAGAAGCCACTGTTCTTGCCTATCTTACCACAGTGGGAAAACCTACTTACACTCAAGTCCAGCTGGGTCTTTCTGAAAACCTAACACGCAGCACACAGGGTCGTGTTCCTGTCTGGGTGCCCACAGCAGACATAGTTAATCAATCACAGCTCTCCCTTCCCTCATTGATCTGGGTTCTTCCTTCTAACAGGCTTGTCAGCTGCTTCCTGATTGCCATCTAAGGTGAGAAATATCCACCCGCCCAGAGCTCTGAGTCAAGAAATATCTACCCACCCAGAACAGAAGCTATGGACTGCTCTCTAACGTTTGAAAAACATGTGCTGACTGTAATATAAATTAAGACTTTGTATCACATCACATTAAGGTGTTGGTCCGCACAAGACAGTTCTTCATTCAACAAGTCATGTGTGAGTTAGCAGGCACCAGGCGCTCTGCACTGCTCTCTCCAAATGTCAGTGCAGGGGGGCAGAAGGCTGACCTACCCAGGACGTGGGCATCTTCATCCCATATGTAACCACATTTGCTATTGTTACCCAAGAAGGACTAATGCTAAAATTAATAAGTAATTGCCGAAAAATGGTCAATGAAAACCTATTATAAGAGTATCCCTGTGTTGAAAAAATCCTGTTAGCGACACTAGAAAGAGTGCAGTGACACTACAAGATTGCTTTAGAGCACTTGGAGAGGGGCTCGTGTGCACAGCACATGCCTGGGCAGGGCTGGGCCCGAGCTTGGCGAGCATTTCCGGGAACTGCGAAGGCACTGCTGTGATGTCCCCGAGCTGCTTTCTGTGGGGCAGTATTTCTGTTTCTTATGTGGAAAGTGTTTTACACACAGAATACACGTTTAATTAAATCGTATCATCTTTGCAGATGAAAAATTAATTGAGAAGTTTGTTTGCCAGCAACTCCTGGCATCGCAAGACTTGCCTGTCTGCATTCTGGATGTTTCTCCTGAGCTTTCCACACCATCCTTAACCACACCTCACCCTTGCCTCAGACAGACCCGCTGATGCCCATCCCGACACAACAATGTACCCACCAACTCCTGCTGCCCTTCAGTTACTACACCCAAAGCACTCACTACAAAATGCTGCATGGGTAACCCTGGAGACCTCTGGGAAAGAGAGATCCAGACAAGAAGACCAGACACTTGGAGTGCACTGGAACGCCCAGCCCAGATTCCCCCCGCGCACGTGGGCTGTGCCTGCGCACTGCTCCTCAAATGCCTCATTCGCCCGGGAGACAGCACATCTACAGGGAGATTGCCACGCGAAGAGCAAGCGCCTCTGTTGTGCTGGCAACTGCAGAGCGTCAGGGCCAGCATGGTGGGAGCTTAGAGGGGTTAGGATACCACTAAGTGACCAGAGGCGTGGTTTCTGATGATGCTCTTCCAGGCTCCAGGAGACTCTCTGGGGCCCCCTGGACCGCACTCAGATGCGGCAGTTGGGGTGCGCAGGCTGCAGCCTCACCTTCACACACGGGCTGCAGCCCTGACCAGGACCCGTTGAGCAGGCACATCCGCTCAGCCGAGCCACGCAGCTGGTAGCCCATCTCACAGGAGAAGCGCAGGAGACTCTTGGTCTTGAATTCGTCCCCGAGCCGCGAACCGTGCGCAGGGGTCCCCGGGTCCCCACAGAATCCGGGGCTGCTTCCTGTGGACCACAGCACATGGAGAATTCAGTGTTGTGTTAGGCTCACTGCACGCAGGCTGGGGTCAGATATGAGGACCATGAGTGCAGACGCCATGGACGCAAAGTGGGGCTGGGCTGTGGACACAGAAAGGTCACCGTGGAGGCCAGGGATTCCTAAGTTGGCCTGCAGTTGCTGATGCACTGAAATTTATTATGGAAGCACTCACATAAGAAAGAGCTAAGAGCATGAGTGCTTCTCAGAGTATATTAGTGTAATTACTGATGCACAGACGAGGAGCGGCGAAACTGGAAGCACTGAGAGGAATGACCACCACCAAACACAAAGAGTGAAAGAGCAAACTGGAAGGCTGCGATAAGGCCAGCATCCTAGCCAGGGGCTCAGAAAGCCCCGCAGACTGCAGCGAGAGGTGAGGGGCAGTGACTTGGTTGCCTTGGCTGTGAGGGTGCTGGGGGGCGTGAGTTGGGAGGGGATGTCGCCCTCTGCTCTTCTGATGGGCTAGGGGGCGCTAGAGTAATGAGGGACGGTGAGATCAGGGACAGCGGTGCTCAGTTCTAGCACACACCGGGCGAGGAGCAAGCGAGGCCAGTCTCGGATCTTTGTGCAACCGCCCAGCCTCTTGGGGCTGCATGCAGGGAGGGCCTCACCTGAGCAGTGTGGCAGGGCCCCGCTCCAGTGGCTGTCCTCCTGGCACACTCGCGTGCTGCTGCCGGAGAGGCTCTGGCCCCCTTTGCACGAGTACTGCACTCTGGCTCCATAGGTGAACAGCTCCCCGGTCAGCACGGCATTGGCAGGGACCCCGGGGTGCCCACAGGAGATGGCTTGAGGGAAGAGAGCCAAAGGTGAGTGTGACACTCCGGTACATGGTGTGCATGGTGGGCGTGTCTCCCCGGCAGGGGCCCACACAGCCACCTCTTGACAAACAGGGCCTGGATGAGCTAGCACAGCCTACAGCCCCCTACAGATACAAAGTGCCAGTTTCCCGCTGCAGTGGTGGCACTTGCCCCGGATCCAAGTCCTGGCAGGCTGAAGCAGCTGGACGGTCAATTCCAGCTGTCGGGGTAATTTAGCGAGATCCTGCCTCAAAATTCAAATCAGGGGAGGGCTGGGGTTGGAGCCCAGTTTCAGGTCCTGGATTTCGTTTCTAATAAAAGAAAAGAAAAATCTAGATGACACCATACCTTCCTCACAATTTATTGACTAAAGAAAAGGAAGCCTTCTGCCAGTGGATTTTTTTTCTTTCTTAATGTAGTTTTGCTTAAGGTCAAAATTTACGTGCAGATTTTTCAGGGAGAAACTGCTGCTTTTTTCTGCAGCTCTTGGTAACTGAGGCCTACATGAGCACAGAGCAATATGACAGGAATCCTGGGAAATGAGCCGGCGCCCCACAGGGCAGGCCTCGTGAGGGTGGCCCCGGCCGGAGCCCCTCCAGGTCCTCCTTTCTGCCTGGTACACAGGCCTTTACTACAGAAGCTCAAAAGACCTGGCGCTCTGAAATGCTGGGTAAGTGACCGATTCTGGGTGAGATAAAGGAGAAACAGGAAAGATGTCTGTGAAACCATCTAACAGCAGAGAGAGGGAGCTGCCCTGTGGGCCCCACCTCGGCTTCCACGTGGTCAGCGCCAGCCCTGAGGCACTGTCACTCTGAGGACCAGGCACGAGGCTCCAGGAAGGGTGGGAGAGGAGAACAGGAAACCAACTCCCCGGAAAGCTGGTCTCTGGCCCTCTGAGAACCCCAGCGGTGGCCACAGTTTGCCCAGCTTGGCGACTCCCACCCCAGGCAGGGCCCAAGAGGCTGAGGCAGGAAGACAGCACTGAGGCAGTGTAGGAAGAGATTGAGCTGTCTCTCGGGGCGCACCTGGGGGAAGGCACTGCTGTCTGCCCTGCAGAGAGGCTCAGTAGTCTCTCAGTAGTGACCTCGCCAGCCCCCCTTCTCCAGAGCTGCACCCACTCACCCAGGCAGGCGGGCAGAGCGCGGTCCCACAAGCCGCTTGCTGTGCAGGTCAGGGCCGAAGAGCCCAGCAGGTAAAACCCCTTCTTGCAGTGGAACAGGACGCTAGAGCCGAACTCGAAGCTCTCAGGGAAGTTCTGCTGCCCGTGTCGGATGGCGTTGTCCACAAAGCCTGGGTCAGAGCAGTTCACCACTGGAAGACAGCAAGTGCTCCGCCATGTCACTCACAAGGGCAGAACCAGCCCCCCAAGCCCGCCCACCCACCAGCCCATTGGCCCACCAAGCCCACCCACCCACCAGCCCATCGGCCCCCCAAGCCCGCCCACCCACCAGCCCATTGGCCCACCAAGCCCACCCACCCACCAGCCCATCGGCCCCCCAAGCCCGCCCACCCACCAGCCCATTGGCCCACCAAGCCCACCCACCTGCCAGCCCATCGGCCCAGCGAGCCTGCCCACCCACCAATGGCGCAAAGAAGGTGCACGCCAGCATTTCAGGAGGTTCACAAAACATGGGCCACGTCAGGAGGGCCCATGGAATGCTCACTGCTTCCTCTTCAGCTGCCGCCCACCGTGGCTCCCAAATGCCTGCCCTGACTCAGCCCCTAGAGCAACGTGAAGGGCACCAGGCCGAGCTCCTTAGGCCACTTCCTGCGGTGGCTTCTTCAGTGTAGGTGTTGTGACAGTTTTCTTGGTTAAGTCTTGGGGTTCCAGCAGGTGACATGGGCTGGCTGAGGTGCCTCTAGCTTGGCTGTTTCTGGCAGGCAGCCGCTGAGGGCTACGATGGGGTTCCCCACCCGCTACCTGCCTCAGTGCCTCCTAATGAGCTTCTACTGTGCGTGAGGAGCGGCTGAAGGTGGCAGTCCTTCATCACCGCCGTGGGAGGCAGCCCCTTCCTCTTAGAAAACAAGACAGTGGCCACAGCGGGCAGGATGCTGTCCTCCGTCTGCACCGCTCCAGGGAACCAGCCCTGCATCTTTTGGGGAGTGGGGGGGCCTACGGAACGTGTCAGTCTCACACGCGTGGACGAGTAGAGGACACTCGTGCCTGGAACGGAGTTCTGCGCATGCTCCTCAGGCAGCTGCCGCATGGTGTGGCCCTCCCCAGAGGCACACGTGAGGGGCCTGCGCAGGTCCTTGGCCATGTGCGCCCCTGGGACGTGGAACGGGTGGACAGCAGACCGAGGCCCTGGCTCCTGCTCCTGGAGGGCGCAGGGGGCAGCATGGTTTGGGGCTGCGAGCGGGCTGCTGTTAAAGACCCCAAATCCAGCAGGATGGCGTGCGAGCTGCACTGGCCACAGCCCCGGGGACTTTCCGTGACCCTACATACACGTGATCTCTGGCCCAATGGAATGCCTTGGGGAGCCGCTGCAGTGCGGTGCTTAAAGTGACGGGGGAAAGCCTGTCGGTGATTAGTGCAGACGCAGTTAGAAAACAGTTGACCTGAGGTTTGTTGAGGCTGTGGTCCTGCGGATCGTGGACATGGTGGCCGAGTACACGTACGCATACACACAGGAGAAGATGCACAGGACCACATCTAAGCACTTGCAATGATCGTGAGAGGTTCCCGTTGGTTACTTATTGAACTGGCTGAATTCATAAACATATTGATGTACATTCCAGAATTTAAAGGGAAAAGCCTCGCAAAACTCCTGGGTGAAACCACGTTCCCCGAGGTGTGTGCACATTGTCAGAGTCCTCCAGGTGAAGGCCGCGGCCTTCTGGAGCTGCAATGTGCTTTTTGGGAACAGTGCTGCCGCCAGGCAAAGCATGCTTTCTGCCATCTCCAGTCCTGTTAGCAAAGAAAGCACTGCGCGTTCTGCAAAGAGCTTTACCCAGGACGCGAGGCTTCTGCTTTGGCTCCCACCTCGGGGTGACTGCGGCATCTGCCTCTCAGGCTTGAATCGGAGCAGAGCGGCTAGCAGACATCTCGTCCAGCCGCACTGAACACGCATGAGCTCCGCGTTCCTTCCAACCCTCGGGGCCTCTCTCCCTAGGGGATGCCCCAGGGCCCCCAGGGTCCCACACTGAGGACATGTCTGAGCCCCTTAGCAGGAGCTTGAGGAGAGCAGCCCCAGATCTGCACATGGGGGGTGGGGGGACGACAGTATCCTCAACGGTGAGGAGGCCGAGGTGAGATTCGCTGCCACCCACACTGTGCTCCCCACACGGCTTCTAGCAGAGCTGCCCTCCCTTCCGGAGTTTTGAGGTTTGTGCCACTCTTTCCCTAAAGTGTCCCCATCTTTCTGAGCTGCCCTTCTCTTCTTAATAAGGTGGACGTGATTCCACGCCCCAGACGGGGTCTTCTGAAAGCTGGCTGGGGGTGGCCATGAGGTGGGGTGGTGACTCCTGCTCCAGGACACCCTGATGCGCTTGCCTGGGCACAGCTGGAAAAGGCAAGCTTTAACAGAAGAGCTTTGTATTTTCCAGGGAGATCAAGCAAGCTCGGGAAGGCTAATTAATAGTGAAGTGGTCCTGACACAGGTCCTATCCTCGCACTGTGCAGCAGGCCGGGGAGCGACGCCTGTGCCTAGCTTCTCCCCGGCCTTAGGCTTACATGGGGAAAACAGCACACAGCTATCTAGGAAGCTGATGGGTAAGGGGGAAGGGAACCCGTCTGTTTTGAGCCCACATGATCTTCCATTCAGCAAGACTAGATCATGTCACACAGACAAATGTCTCGGTGGCTTGGTGACATTCTCCCTGCCTGCCCACCTGCACCTGGGCCCTCCAGGTAGACAGTCAGCCTCCCCAGCCCTGTAGATGGCATCTAGCACAGCATCTGGTGAGTACATACTGACCCCGCTGTCTGGATGCTGGGTGCAGAAGCGAGGTCCTTCCTGACGTGGAGGACACGAGGCATGAGGTTCCTGGCCCCAGGGGTCCAAGTGGCCCAGCACAGGGCCATCCACTCCTGTCATTCCAGCAGGATGCTCAGCTTCTCCAGGGATTGCAGACTGCGCTGTGTGATGGTGATGCCCCTCCCCCCTGAGACCTTGGGCCGTGTGACCAGAGACGGCCCTGCAGGCAGCTCTGTCCATTGCCAGGCTGGGCAGAGTTTCTAGCGTTTCTACTAGGGTGCGGGGGTTGGTGAGGTTGGCCACACTGGGCTTGGCATTCGGCACAGCCTCAGGAACACCCGAGGCTCCTGGTGCTGGGGGTGGAGGGGCGCTGCGCTATCCAGTGATGCGGCTTTCCTGACCCCACAGATGCCCTCTCCGCCTTCCCTGGCTCCTGGATTGCAGTTCAGGCTCTGCATTCCCCACCATGATGACAGTGACACCACGCTGTGGACAGTCAGACCCACTGGTCCTCCTCCAGCTGGCCACCTGGTCCACACTGCCTGGCCGCACACTCACGCCATCAGTGCCTGAGCATGTGACCTGGGGCCAGTGGCCCCCAGGAGGGCTCCAGCGTCACCCCCAACAGACATCAACAGAAGCGACGCCCCCAGGAAATGGGAAACAGGGTCCTGCTATGCTCAGAAAGACTGCAAACACCGTAATCACCCCTACTCCTTGCCTGCTCTCCCTTTATTCCCCTCCTCTGGTTGGTACCTAACACAGAAATGGTTTTCCTGAAGGTGCGTAGGTGGGAGCATCCCAAGGGTCAGCAGTGTCACCCCCAGGAGACTGAGGGGGCCGCCACTCCTGCGAGGCAGTCTGGACCACAGCAGGTGCACGCATGCAAGGCCCAGGTTCTCTGCCCTCGTGCGGTGACAGCAGTCTCTGGCATGCCACACTGACAAGACTCAGACACGCTCTGCCTGCTCACTGGCTCCTTCCCATCCAGGAGCTTCCCATCCTGCTCTTCAGGGGCCCAGACTACCGAAGGCTGGGATAGCGGCTAACTGCGCCTGCACACCAGGGAGAGCCACCAGTGCTGCCCGTTTGGAACTACAACCTGAAACAGGTTCTGAAGACATGGTGTACTGATGGTTTTGGGGTGTTGGCCCGGCTCAGTTACCCCAAGTTTCCCTGAAAGGATAACAGCTACAGCACACTAAATGTGCGTTTATGGATAACACTGTAAGTTGGAGTTTCTCTGCAATGCGACCAGCGAGTTATCTGGAAGTACTGCAAGGGACAGAGGTCTCTAGCAAACAGAAGACACTGGACTGACTTCCCAAATCTAGACAGGCTTCTCCTAAAGCTTTTCCACAACCTCACAATGGGAAACACTTCACAGCGGGCCTGGTTCACAGCTACCATGTCCTCAGGCCTGCCTGCTCTTCAAAGGCGTAGCTTGTCACAAAATTAATAAATAACTATACCTCTTGAAAACCACATAGCAGAGAGTAGGGTGGTAAACTGCAGTGAAAGAGGAGGGTGTCCAAGTAAGGAGGGCCGTGTGCTTAGATGAACTAGTGGTGTCCTGTCCTCTGGAGCAGTCCCCAAAGAGTTCCAGGTGCCATGAAACACAGAGGACACGGGAACCCTGTCTCCTCACTCGGTCCTATTAAAAAGCAGTTGTGAATACAAAGGCTGCAGGGAATTTCACTTAAGTAGACACGAATCTGATGTGATTTCTTACACTACTGCCAATGCAAGGCTCAAAAATGCCTTCACATTTCATTTTACGGTGGGCTCGTAAGACACAGGTCATGGCAGTAGCTCTGTTTATTTTATAGATGAATTTCAGTAAGTTTGTCCTCCTGAGTGGGCAGAGCTAATGCTAGCTATGAGAGTTTAGAATTCCAGCATCCTCCAAGGGTCCCGGGTGGCCAGAGCAGGGGTGGGCAGGTGACTGGACCTTGAGCTGCTGTGCCCGTCCTGTCCTGTCCTGGATTCAGCCCTTGGGCTGCAGGACGCAGGCCTGGTGGAGCGAGTCACTGGGCGACGGGAAGTGGGAGTCCCGTTCCCAGCTCTTCCCTTCTGTCTGCTTCCGGGTGACTGTGATGAAGCAGCTTTTCTGTACAAGGTCCTTCCACCATCCCCTTCCTGCCTGGGAACTGGCTGACAACAGACTGGGTCCCCCAAAAACCAGGAGCCCAGATACACCTCTCTTCCCTTATGTGGTGGGGGTCACATAGCTCATCCCAGGAACGGGAAAGCTGATTAATAGCCGTGCTTTCCATCTTTCCTTAATTAGGTTCATGTGGCTTTTAACTGGAAGAGGCACAGGTATGTGTGTAAGGTGAGTACGTGCAAGGTGCACACACGCACAAACACATGCATGAACCTGGGCCCAGGGCA